CCAACTTGGAACAAAGCCTAGTTGTCCCCACGGCTTCTTCAGCTGGTCTGTGAGTTTGGAAAGAGATGAAGCTCCTTTCAGATTTCTTTTTAAAAGGACTTTATTCTGTCACTTTTGCCAAGCAGTTCTGTATCCAGGTCCTAGTGTGCCAAAAGGAAAAGGTGGGCCCAACGACATAGGCGCCCCCTACTGTGTCCTCATAGTATGGAACTCTCTCCCAAGCCCTAAGCAGAGCATGGACACGGGGCTTCTTGGGGTCCTGCAGCCCTAAAGTCGTTAGCTGCCCTAGAGAGGTTCTGGCTGGGTTCTCAGACCTATCAGTGCACCTTATACCTCAAGTAAGGGAGAAATTATGTTGCTGGAAGAACATTTCATCATGGAAACACAATTAATTTTTTTTTTTTTTTTTACTTTCCACCCCCATTCATAATCAAAAAAAGACAGAGTAGACATAAATAATCCAGCAGGAGAGCAGCCCAGAGTCTGCTTTCCTCTAGTGAAGCTCCTTAGTTTGCCTGACAGAAATTTCAGGATAAGAGATTTTTTTTGCCTGAAAGTTGCATTCAAATAGGAACACTACATCCACTTGCCTAACTTCTGCCTCCAAGTGCACATAGTGTTTCTTTTGATAATTTAAAAGAAACAAAACCAAACAGAAGTAGGAGAAAAATGACTTTGAAATTAATGTTAGCATATGATTTATAACCTGGGACCTTATTTTTGTTCCCAAAACCCCTCCGAGTAAGGGCTTTGCCCCTCAAGACTAATTTTGCTTTTAAAACGGTTGAATCTCAAACTTTAGCATGCATCAAATCCACTGTGTGAGGGGTAGTGCAGTTAAAAACATGTATGGTTGAGCTCTACCCCAAGAGTTTCTGACTCAGTAGATCTGGATGGGGCCTCAGAATTTAATTTCTGACAAGTGTGCAGATGCTGTGGGTCTGGAACCATCCTTTTGAGCACCACTGCTATTAGGAGTGAATGGTCAAATCAACAAACCATGGTACCCTTTTCATGATTACCCTTGTCACAGAAAATTCTCCATGGCTAAAATATCAAGATGGATAGAGCCAGTATAAGCTTTTTTTTTTTTTGGTACCAGGGATCAAACTGAGGACCTTGTGCTTGTCAGGCAGTCACTGTGCCACGGAGGTGGATAAGCCCTAAATAAGCTTAATTTTTAACCTGGCCAGTTTCAACTATAAATTTCAATTGGCTTCCTTACTTCAAGGCTCTAACCCTTTCCACTTTAGTCCGGTTTCCCTAGGATCTATGGTCACAGTCCTTGCTTCAGGGTACAGGTGAAACAGACAGAAAGACGCACACACACCTTTTGCAGTGGGCAGAGTAAATTGGTGGCTCCGTATATCCCTGAGCAGGCTGATTAAGGACTCTTGAATATATAAAGCGGATTCTATTATAAAGAGCAGTAGCTTCAGACTGGCCTTTAGGGAACATAGTACCCCTAGGACCAGTTTATTACTTATGGCCTTCTCTTTGGGGCATGAACCAGAGCTTGTGAGTAGCTCTTAATGGTCATCGTAAGAGTGTACTAGCATTCCATTAGTATATCCATTTCCATTAGTCAACCCTTTGCAATAACACATCTTTTTTATGCTGTCTGGGGGTGTTGGCTTCAGGTTAGCTATGCCAAAGATTAAGGAAAGAAAAGGTAAGCGATGATGAGCTGCATGTGATGACCTGGGGGGCCTCAGTATTTGAGCCCTGTGTTAAATGTGTTAACCACAGATGTATACATCTCGTATACATCCTGTAATAAAGAATCCTTGAAGCCTCATGTATCTCTTTGATCCTGGTTTGCCTGGCTGAGTCTATTCAAACAAGCACATTTCAGTTATATGCCAGGTTGCTGTACATGGGTGGCTTCCCAGGTAATGTGAGGTGTTGGTGGGAAATGGCAGGCGACATCTGCTCTCCTCTTACTCTTTCGGAATACTACAGACAACGCAGTTACTTCTCAGACCAGTGGGAGGGGATGTGCCACTCTGCAAAGCAGAAGTCCAGAATGAAAGAAATGAGAAAAAAAAAAAAAAAGTCACTTTATCTTAAGTACTTAAGAAGCATGGTGAGAAAGTTGGTCATTCAAGACCAAAATGTAGTATTCCAACCAATAAGGACGTCACTACCACGCATCTCCTGGACTGTTAGCTAGTTTTCCCCTGCCAGCTTCCACCTTCTCAATGGTTAGACTAGATGAAGGATGCTGGGATCAGGACTTACACAAAGACAAAATTAAGCACCGTAGAGTTGCCACAAAGCATGGAGTTTTAAAAAATACTCTATGAAGCCTCAGAAGATAGGAAACAACAGAAAAGTGCTCTTGTGTCACATATACAGACAAACACGCGCACGCTCACACACACACACACACACACACACACACCACACACACGCACACGCGCACGCTCACACACACACACACACACACACACACAATCAGGTCCCATATTAGCCTGCAAATACCTAGTATTTTATGTTTAGTGCCTAGGCAGGGACTGAGAAACAAATACACTGGACACATCTTGTTGGTCTTTTTCCTATACGAGAGGTCTCTGCTAAGGAAACTCCCCTGCAGCTGTGGCTCTCTCTTCTGGTTGGTGTTGAATGTTAAACCATGTTCGGTACTAGCCAACTTTGGTGATGACAGATGAAGTCAAGGGGCTGGAGAGGAATGGAATAGCACAACTTCCAGAAATGGATAGGCTGGATTCTTCCAAAGGTGCTTGGGAGTTGAGAATTTAGCTAGAGGACCCAGTTTTTCTTTTCTTCAGGATCCCAGAAGTCTCAATCAAGATGTAAGTGTGTAGGCAGGAGACAATGCTATGGATTTGTTCCTTGCCATTAATTCTAGGGCAGCGGGGGAGCAGCTTGGTTTTTATGCTTCAGAGAAGTCTGGATGAGCGCCCCAAGGGATTATAGCACCATGAGGAGGCTCAACCTTCTGCAATTGCCACATAACCACGATTCCTTGTGAGACTATCGGTCCCCACCACGAGAGGCCTAGATGTGCAACTGTAAACAGGGTCTTGGGCTCCAGACAGAAAGCTGAGGCTTCACTACCACTGTACCAGATGGGAACACACCTTCTGGAAGAAAGCAACTAAGTGACCTGGGCTAAGTGCAGCAGTGAACTGAGAGTAGACGGTGGTGAATCCCAGGAATAGAAACAAAAAGTCACAGCACGAGAGGCCTCCAGAAACAACCCGCTGAAGAACCAAAAAGATTCACGATGGTATCCACAGTAACTAGTAGAGACACAAGAAACCTTCTGTGATCTGAGGCAATTGGAATGAAAAAGGGGTTCTGTCCCCTCCTTTTTCTCAAGTAGCCAGTAAGATCCACATCAGAAGGCACTGGCTGGGCAGCACCAGAAAACAGAGTTAGGGGCTCAACCATCAGGTTAAGGTGGAATTAAAAGTCTGAGCCTTGCCATGGGTCTGGAGCTTAGGCTGGGGTTTAGAAGAGGCCTATGCCCAAAGTAGGCCCGTTTGGTGTTCCCTGCCTTGTAAGTTGGAACACCCAGCTCTGTGGCCTCCTCATTCTGCATAGCAGAGACCTTAAGGCAGTGATTTCAGCACCATCCGTGGACAAGCAGCCTCTTCTCAGCACAGATTGCATAATTTACAGTTGAGTTGGTTGGGGATCTTCACAGCTCATGGAATTAGCAGCAAGAGCAATTATAGTCTCCAGCACAGAGGACCCTGTCATCCCTGGGTGCCATCTGGTGAGATTACAGAGCTTTTCCAGGGGTGCAGACCATCTTGTTGATCTAAATGAAAATATTCTGATACAAAGATTTGGATCTATCTACTCCTGGGTTGGTAGGATAGAGCAATCCAAGATAGTAAGCTTAAAGATTCTGATAAGGTCTTGTACTATTTAGGAATCTGAAGAGCAAACACTCAATCCTAGGCTCATCTCATATCCCTGATCCACGAGAGAACTAAAATTCAGCCTGTTGGGCAGTTATGCCTGGAACCTGCTCCCACAGGACTTTCAGAAATGGTAGGAATAGACTTGTCCACTACACACAAGCAAGATTCCACAGTCCTTCAGATTTTAATTGATCCCAGATCTTCTGCCCCCAGGGTACTGGACACCTAATCAAAGGCTACTTTTTAGCTGACTCTTTGAGTTTCAGCTCCATTTCTTAGATGATCCAGAAGGTCCAGATAACAAGGAGGTGTGCACACAATGGATGGCAACATTTCCTACCAGACCATGAATCTCAGGGTCCAAGTCTTGTCCTTGTTTTTCATCTACTGACTGGTACACAAATATTCAATAAGTACTTGTCTAAAGAAGAAACATGGACTGCCCAACCTTCAGGGTCACAGGAAAAGGACAACTTTTGTAAGAAGCAGGATGTTTGTGGAAGGCAGATATTCACCACCAAATCAAATTCCTTGAACTGTATATTCAGATTTGGAGTATCACGTGGATGTTCAGTTTCTTATAAATGAATATTCGCCCACCAAAAACAAATACATAGTTAAGGGCTGATATGGAATTTTGATTCAGTCAGACAAAGAAGTGGCTGCCATCCAAATAGTGCAGTGAGTTGGCGAATGGGCCACAAGACAGAGGAGCATTTCCAATCTCTGGGTTTCCTCCAGTCCATCATGAACCTCAGAACAGATCTTCTTCTATGCCAGAGGCTGGTCATTGAGCTCCCATGCAGAACATATGTTTTCCCAAAAGGAAAGTCAGGGAACTGAGTGCCTCTTCTCCTATTACTGGTGAGTTGGTACTTCGTATCTTATATAAGCCTGAACGATGCCAGAGACAGTAGCATGGCAAGTGTCTAGCTGGTACCAATTAGATGACATCAGATTCTCCATGGAAAGCCCACTTGGAAAGGCCAAAGTAGCCCCTGAAAAAGCAACTCAAGTACCTCATGGACATGTAAGGAAATGGGGGAGAGGGAGAGAAAAATAAATAGGCAAATGGTAGAAAAAATAGAAACAAATTAAAAAATAAAAAATAAAAAAGTAGGGTTTATTGACTCTCACGCATGTTAAATTAGAAGGTAGAAAGACAGAGCTACCGGTCTTTCTCTAAAGGCTGCAATGTTACTTTTGTGATGTGGTGACTTCTTATATGAGAAGCCGTCTTGTCAACATCCCCTGTCATCCAGAAGGCAAGAGCTGGCAGCTTGCTTTTTTACTTTGGCAACTGGGTCCCCTTTCTCCAGCTTCATCTTTTCCATTGCCTGTTACCATTTACAGGTTGATTTATGCATTTTTAAAACCACATGCTTGTTTTCTGGGCTCCAGCCAGATCTCTGGGGGAAGAGTCGTTGGCAGTGGTGATAGAATTGGGAAGGGGCTGCGAGAAAGTCAGCAAGCGAAGCTTCCTGCCTCCTCAGACTTCCCCTCCTGTGACTGTCTCAGAGGTGCTCATGAGAATCAGCTAGGAACTGCTGCGGAGTCTTTTGATGTCTTCTGAACCCTTCCTCAGAAAGCCCAGGAGTTTGTAATTGAAACAAGAAAACAAGGAAAAGACCCAGAATCATCTTTTCCCCAAGGTCATGAGAGGAGGCCAGTAAATCTATTTAGGTGACACAGTTCCCAAATGCCACCCCACCAAATCCCTACTAGGAGTTCTCAAAAGTGCAGCACCAAGAGCCTTGCCTCTTCTTGTCTTCCTCCTCCCTCCTGTTCTCCTCCCGGGGCCAGAGAGTCAGTGCTTTGAGAGAAGAGGGGAGAGGAGGAGCTAACGAAGCAGATGCCACCTTCTGCTGTCTGGGGTGACAGTGACTGTTGGACCCTCAGAGTGTCGCCTGGAGGTTGGGATCCAGGATGGTCTCTCGATCTGGAGACTCAATATAGTTGGCAGCCTCCTGAAGTTTCAGCAGCATGGCCATCTGGAGAGGGGAAAGAGGTACATTAATGGGAGCTGGGACACGGGGTCTTGCCAGAGAGGGAAAACAAAAACCTAGATCATGGGTCTGATGCTTGTTTTGAAAGTGATTCCAAGTCTGACTGCTTGGAATGCAGGTCATTCATGAAAAACAGTGATGAGCTGGGCATGGTGGCACATGCCTATAATCCCAGCACTCAGAAGGCTGAGGTGGGAGGATTGCTTGAGTACAAAATGAGTTCAGGGCCAGCCTGAACTGTATAGCAAAACCCTGTCTCAAAAAAATACCAGTGATGATTGCTTCATGTGCATATTGTCACCAGGGGTATGACCGCTGCACAAAGTTCTACCTGTGATGTGTGTGGGAGGAGGACACCAACATACATGACTGCCTCTGCCTGCATGGTGCCTGTATTCCAGTGAAGGACAGTGGGTGTCATACCCTTCATAGTGAGATAAGTGTTGTGGGAACATCTGTGTCTCTAATAAGCCCTCTCACAATAGGTTACAACCCAACAGCAAGACTTCATGTTTTTATGAAGTTATTTCTTTCCAGCCTACAAAGACTATGTCAAGCCTGCACACCTCAGTGCATTTAGCTCCTATCCCCTCTCTGTCTTATCCCCATACTGGGTGTTGAATCTGGGGGCTCCTGAATGCCAGGCAAGTGCTCGGTGAGTGGTCCACCTCCTCAGCTCTTTTGATTTTTTATTTTCAGGGAGGGGCTAACCTTGAACTTGTGATCCTTCTGCCTCAGTCTCTCAGGTAGCTCTGATTACAGGAATGGGCCACACACTGTGGCCACGAGGTCAGTTATGAGCCACTTTTCCTGGTAGCTCCTTCTCTTACCTTTTTTTCCCCCTTGATACTTCAAGTTTGGAACCCTCTTTTTTAGCTAAGTAAGCCTGACTGATTCTAGAAAATCTGCCTTCCACCTTCTTCTACCTACTGGATTATTATTAGTCTTCCAATTTAAAAGCTTTTTTTTTTTTTTTTTGGTGGTACCAGGGATTGAACTCAGGATCTTGCGCTTGCCAGGCAAGCACTTACTCTACTGAGCTATCTCCCTGGCATGACAGGTATGAATTCCCTATGTTAAATGTGATCCTTATGTACATCCAAAATGTATCAATAAAATCTAATGAAAAAAAGAAAAGGAAAGGAAAGATTTGTGCTAATATCATTTGATCATTTATTTATTTATTTGGTACAGGGTCTTGCTATGCAGCTCATAGTGATCCTTTCTCAGCCTTACCAGCACTGGGATTACAGGTGTGTGGTTTCAGTGGCTTGGCTTTCCTAGTGTTCTGAGGATGGCAATGGCGTTCCCTACTGGGGATTGAACACGGGTCCTTGTGCTTGCCAAGCAGGTGCTTAGACAGCTGAGCTATCTCCCCAGCCCTATGCTAATATCATATAGATAATTTTTATAACCATATCTTGGCTCTGAGTAACTATTTTAATATAACATTATGCAATGTGTTGACAACTGTTATTCTCCTTTTATTTTGTTTTGATTTTTTTTTTTTTTTTTTTTTGGCTTGCTCAGGTTGCCTTAAGGGCGGGTCTGGTAAGGCAGGTGGAGGTGGGGATTGAACCATGGTATCCTGTACCTCACTACATTTGCATCAGCAGGTACTTAAACAACTGAGCTAACTGGCAGGGCCCCTGCTTTGAAATTTTGTTTTATATCCTTTTATAAAATAAAAAAGAAATGTCTGAGACCTATTTCAAGAAGAAAAAATAAATAATCTTTTAGAATGACTTTAGTAATGAACACTCCCACAGCAAAGCATGAAAATCCAAGCTTGCACATGTTATTTTACCAATGTGAGATTTTTCCATTTTAATTTTCTTCATTCTCAGAGAGGGTAAAGAGTTTTTAAAGTTTTTAATTGCATCCTATGTCAATTGTTTCTAGTCAAATGACTTTCTTTCTTTTTTTTTTGGCGGAACCGGGGATTGAACTCAGGTACTTGCACTTGCCAGGGAAGCGCTTATTCTACTGAGCCATCTCCCCAGCCCCAATGGAATAAGGACTTTTTTTTTTTTTTGCTCTGAATGCCTTCAGGGCAAGTTTGGCCTGCTTGAGCTGTGGGGATTGAACCACAGCAACCTAAGCCTGAGTGCTTTGTTGAAGCAGCCACTTAAAGAACTGAGCTAAGGGGCAGGCCCCCACCTACTTTCTATAGAAGTTCCTTGGACCCATTTAGCGGGGGAAATTCTCAGGACAGTATCGGAGGACAGACGGAAGCAGAGCAATTGTGAATGTGTGGGGTTTTTTTGTTGTTTGATTTTTGTCTTTGTCTTTTCAAGACAGGGTCTCAGTATGCAGTTCAGGCTGGCTTGGAGCTCACTTTGTAGCCCAGGCTGGTCTCAAACTCTCAAGGATCCTCCTACCTCAGCCCCCTGAGTGCTAGGATTCCAGGTGTGTGCCACCATATCCAGCTCACTGTGGTTTCTATTCTTTATTTCTTTGCCAAGTATTCTCACATGGCCTCTGCCTGGAACTGGGATTGGTGCTAGACTACATCTTTTATTTTTTTTTATTTTTTTTTTATTTTTATTTATTTGAGAGAGAGAGAGAGAGAGAGAGAGAGAGAGAGAGAGAGAGAGGGGTGTGTGTGTGTGGCCAGCTCAGCCCACCAGGGGGCGGGGCTGGCTGGCATGTGGTGCTGGGGGATTGAACCGCGGTCCCTGATGCTTTGCCAAGCTTGTTCTAAGTAGGTGCCTTAGACCACTGAGCCATCTCTCCAGCCCCACTAGACTACATCTTGCTGGGATATGTTATCACTTAGCTTAAGCTAGGACTCAGGTACACAACACTTATAGTCAAAGATTCTGATATTCAGAGCTCTTCTCTGGCTTTCTGGTACTGACCTTGCTGAAACTCTGGGAAGCATTCAGTTCTATAATGTTCTTTTCACATTCAAATGGCTTCCACTCACCAGAGGGTCTGAGTCCAGAGAACTTGGGGTGCTGTCTTTGACTGTCCTGTCCTCTGGAGGTGAGGCAATGCTGTGAGGACCCACAGTGGGTGGGGGCAGGTGGTACAGCTTTGATTGGTCTTGTTGGGCTGATGGCCAGGGAAGAGTGTCCCGGACCCACTCCACTGGGTCCTCCCACGCAGCTTTCTGTCCATGGACCTGGAGAGAAGGAGATCGCATTAGAGGGCTGTTCAGGCAGTCTCTTAGAATTCCCACAACAGTCATGCTCTCTGAAAACACACACTTCCGCAAAACTAAGGATTTGAGGTTCTGATCCTGTTGAACATTCCTGAGCTTCCCGACAAAGAAGTTGTATAAACTGGTAAAATAATTTTGGAAGATAATCTAACAGATCGTATTAAAACTTAAAAATGTTTCCTTCCTTCTTTCCTTCCTCCCTCCTTTCCCCTCTCTTTCCATCCCTCTCTGTTTTTTTGCTTTTTTAAAAAATTTTTTATTTTTAGGAAAGGGTCTACAGGGTGTTCAGAGTCTCACTACTAGATTGGACTCATAGTGATCCGCCTGTTTACAGCCTCCCAAAAGCTGGGATTACAGGCACGTGCCATCATGCCCAGTCTCAATTGCTGTCTCAGCGTGCTCTGGGGGCAGGGCTGGCACGGCAGGCCCAGGGATCGAACCCCTGGCTCCTGTGCCTGCTTGCAGGTGCTTTAATCTGCTGAGTTATTTGCCAAAACATTTTTGCTTTGTTTTTTGATATAAGGTATTGCTATGTAGCCCAGGCTGGCCCTAAACTCTTGATCCTTCTGCCTCAGCCTGCCAAGTGCTAGGATTATGGAAGAGTGACATTGTGTCTGGCTAAACTTTTATCTCAATTTTTAAAAACTTAGAAATAAAAAATTGTATATATTTAGGATATACAACATGATGTTTTGAAGTATAAATGAGTGGTTAAATTGAGCTAATGAATACATTTATGTGAGGTCACATAATTATTTTTTGCTTTTGGGGAGTGAGAACACTCCAAAAAGTATATCATACATTACTATTAACTCTGATTATCTGATTGTACAATAGATTTCTTGAACTTATTCTTGCTGTCTAACTGAAATTTTGTGTTTGTGATGGTTAACCTTTATTCCCCCTTTTTGTTTTTGGTGTCTTTTAAAAAATTATGTATTTATTTATTTGGTATAGGGTCTTGCTACTTGGACTCATACTGATCCTCCTGTGTCAGCCTACCCAACGCTGGGATTACAGGGCTGCACCACCATTCCCAGTTTTGATGGCCAGCACAGCACATCCAGGGCAGGACCGGCATGGCATGCGGTACTGGGAAATCAAACCCAGATCCTTCTGCTTGACAGGCAGGCCCTTAGACTGCTGAGCTATCTCCCCAGCCCTTCTTTTTGGTTCCTTAAAACAGGCTTATACTATGTAACCCAGGCTGGCCTCAAACCTGTTATGTAGCCTAGTTTAGCCTTGAACTCATGATACTCCTGCTTTCACTCCCTGAGTGCTGGGATTAGGTGTGCTCAGCCATGCAGCTTGTGGTGGTCAGTCTGCACTGTCAATATCATTGGCTCAAGAGATGTCTACGAGATTAATTAGTAAAGCACACTTGTAAGTGTGGCTAGGTAGGTTGTGGGAGTGTGAACCTGGGGACTATATCTGGTTGCTGCCTCTGTCCTCTCTGGTTCTTTGCTTTGTTTGCTTCCTGGATTCTATCAGTCGTGTGGCTTTATTCTACCATCCCCTCTGGCCATGATGTTTCTGCCTTAGAGACAACGAACCATGGACTCAAACCTCTGAAACTATGAGCCAACTTTTCACCTTTAATTTATGTATATAAGGTATTTTGTCCCAAAACAGAAAGCTAATACAGCATCATTTGATCAACATCTCTCCAACTCTTATTTGCCCAGACCATGGTTACTACTGTTCTCTTCTGCTTCTATGTATTTGTTTCTATTCCACATATAAATGAGATTATGCATTATTTGATTTTTCTGAGCCAGGTTTTTACTTAACATCATGTCTCCCAGGTTGGTTCATGTTGCAAAGGATATTCTTTCTTTTTTTGGTTTTGTTTAAAGGCTGAACAATGATATCTGAGTAGGTATGGTGCATACATTATTCATTCTTTTTTTTTTTTTTTTTTTTGTGGTACCAGGGATTGAACTCAGGACCTTGCACTTGCCAGGCAAGAACTTATTCCACTGAGCTATCTCCCTAGCCACCACATTATCCATTCTTTATACATTCATTTGTTGATGGACACACAGGTTGAATTAAAACTTAACATTCAATTTTTTTTTATTCTCTGAGACAGGGTCTTGTTAGGCTGTCCAGGTGGGCCTTGAACTCACAGTCCCTCCACCTTGGCCTCCCAAGCAGCTTGAAGTACAGATGTGTGCCACCAAACCCAGCTACACAATTTTATCACCTTTCAATTTTACTTTTCAAGTAGGATTTAATTGTAATACTTTTTAAATTCTTTGAAAACATGTTATTTGTGTGAAAATGCTTTAAAATTGGAAACCTATTAATAATATAGTATTTGCTTGAAATGCGACAAATTTATAAATGAAAGGATGATTCCTGGCATCACTCTGATAGCATCCCTAGAAATTTATCATCAGGATATACCTATAGTAATAACAAATTGTTTTTTTGCATAACACACGGCCAATTAGGGCCAGTCATTGCATCTTACTTTGTTTGTGCTGGAATGGAGGTTAGCAATCATTGCACCCTAATTTACAGGTGAAAAAATTAGGAAGCTTTGAAAAAAATATCTAAATAGACAATAGATTTAACTAGACATTTCTCAGAAGAAGACATAAAAATAGCGAATATGTATATGAGAAAATGTTCAATATCACTAATCATTAGTGACCAAAACAATGAGATATCACTTTGCCCCATAAGAATGGCTCCTACCCAAAAGACTAAAAGAGCCAGGTGTGGTGGTATGTGCCAGTAATCCCGGTGCTTGGGAGGCTGAGGCAGGAGGTTCACCACAAGTTCTAGGCCAGCCTGAACTGCATAGTGAGACCTTGTCTCAGAACAAAACAAAAACAGAATAAAGATAATAAGTAGCTGCCTGACAAGTACAATACTAATGAGGATGTAAAGAAAAGCAAACACTTATGCCTGGCTGGTGCAAATGTAAATTAATATAGTTTTGAAAAGCAGTAGGCAGATTCCTCAAAAACCAAAAAATAGAACATTATGTAATCCAGAAATTCCTCTACTGGGAATACAGCCAAAGGAAATGGAATTAATATGCTGAAGAGTCATCCACACTCTCATGTGTATTGCCCATATTCACAACAGACAAGATGTGGAATCAACCTCCATCAACTGAAGAAGCAATGAAATATGTGGTACATAGGCAAACAGAACGTACTTCTCAGCCATAAAGGAATGAAATGCTATTATTTGTGATAACATGAACAGAATTGGGGGGATGGTTATGTTAAATTAAATAAGCCAGACACAGAAAGACATATAGCACATGATCTTACCCATATGTGGGAGAAAAAATGTTAATCTCAAAGAAGTCCAGTAGAATGAAGCCAGGTGAAGTGGTGCATGCCTATAATTCTAGCACTTGGAAGGCTGAGGAAGGAAGACTGCAAGTTTGATGCCACGCTAGGCTACATTGTAAGGTTAAGGCCAGCATGGAATACATAGTAAAACTCTGAAATAAAAACAGGGGGGAAGGCCAGGCATGGTGGTGTATATGCCTGTAATCTCAGCACTTTGGAGGCTGAGGCAGGAGGATCACTGAGTTTGAGGCCAGCCTGGTGTACGAACTGAGTTCAAGGTCAGACTAAACTGCTTATTGAAGCCATGTCTCAAAAGGACAAAAACCAACCAAAGAAACAAAATTAATAAGAATAAAAATAATGACATCCTCTTATACAATTTTTTTTGTTTTTTTTGCTTTTTTTCCCAGTGGTACTGGGGCCTGAACTACATGCTAGGCAAGTGCTCCATTACTGTGCTTTTTTCTTTTCTTTAAGTCTCTTTTAAAAATTATTTTGACATGGAGAGAAAACATTCTCTCAGGCTTTCATGGGGAGCACATTGGCCAAGCAATGGCTGTGACTCATCCACATGGCTAACACTGACAAAGGGTCTACAATCTGAGGTACAAGATCTCAGGATAAATCCTCATAGGATTTGACTGACCTTATCAGATCCAAAAGCTACAACTCTTGTTGCATAGGTCTTGCTTTACCTTGGTCTTAACCATCCCATGGTGTTATGTTGAGCTGTAGGGGACTCAGGTCAACAATTTCTGACACTGCCAGTCAAGCAGAAGACCCAGTACTATTATGGATTACTGGACTCTTTTAGAATATTTTGCTGAGTTTACACACCTATAATATTTAAATGATGGAACTAAACAAAAAGGGGATATATAAATGAATGTCCATTTTGTATCTGTGTATTCAAAATGGTTAGGATAGATATATAGTTACATTCTCTTAATGAATAGAGGGAATTGTTCTAATGGTGTTTGCAAATAGGATATCATGTCTGTATCTTGTATAGCAAATAACCACTAGGAAGTGAGCATGCAATGTGTTAATTATTGAAACTATCATACCAATTTGATTTGAAACTATCACATTGCTATTTGTCTCTCAATAAAATTATAGAAAAGAAAAAAATTATTTTGAGACACAGTCTTGCTGAGTTGCCTAGACTGGGCTTGAACTTTTGAAGACATATTTCATTTTGTCTTCAAAACAACCCTGTGATTTAGGTAGAGCAGAATTTATCTCTTTTTTACATATGAAGACATTGAAAAAGTCTAAGTAACTTTGGCCAACGTACCTTATTTATTTGTAGTCAGCAACTAGCTAAGGCTATAAAAGGTCTTCCTTAATTTGTGGCTCAATTGTTTTTCTGTTTGCTTTCAACCCCACAGAGTAACTTGGGGGCTGGGGAGATAGCTCAGTGACTTGAGTGCCTAGCAAGTGCAAGGTCTTGAGTTTGATCCCCGGTGCCAAACAAAAAATGTCATGTACTCAACTCCACAGAGCAGACTGTATTGGATGCAGAGACAGAAGGCCTAGACTAGGGCAGAGAGAGAAGCTGTTGGTCACTTGCTGGGAGGAAAGCAGCTCATTCTATCCAGCTCCTTGCCCTCACTTTCAGAATGAAAGCCTAACCAACTCCAGTGATGCCATGCGTGGAAGAAATGCTGCTGCTTTGTTAGGAAGGACAGCCTGACCTTGGTGTTTAAGGGCAGTCATAGGGCAGGGCTCACCTTGATCCCATCCTTGGCTCCTTCCTGTAGGTAGGGAATGATGGAGTTGTTCCACAGGTCGATGAACCAGGTCCGGAAGTCCTCAATGCCAATTGGACAGGACAGAAAGAAGCAAGGGCCTAGGAAAAGGATGGGGCTCTGAAGATGACTGAGAAACCCCGACATCCCCAGGTGCAGGCCTCCCTCTTTCATTTCCAAGTAGAGGGCTCTGACATCCCAGGCAGACGACTCTGACATCCTAATTATTAAAGGAGACTTAAGAGTCCTTGAGGCCAGGGGATGCTGATGGCTGGGTTGTCTCAAAAATTGTGCATGGCAATGTATAAGTAAGACAAGGAAGTAAGGGAAGTGTCTTGTTTCCTCCTACACACACCTTCTCTTTTGTTTCATTAATTGTAGGGAAAAAATGAGGGAGGGGTAGCTCTCACATGCTGGGCAAGTGTTCCTCCATTTTTATTTTATAACTTGGCATGTAAATATGCTGCCCAGGCTGGCCTCAAGGAACCTCCCACCTCAGCTTCCAGGTGGCTTGGACTACAAGTGACCTTGCTGCCACTAGGCTTGGGGGTAGCTTTCAGATGGCTGAGGTGATCCAGCCAATTCACCTAAACTGGAAAGGTGCCAGCTGAATTATGCATATCAGTGGTTTAAGTATGAAGCCACAAGACTTGCAACTCCTTTACAGGCTGAAGACTCCAGAAAGCAAAGGGAGCTTTCTCAAAGTGGTGAGGTTACGAGAGGGAAGTTGGTTCCTGCCCGCCCCCACCAGGGGATGCTGGCCCCTAGTACCAATGAGGAAGTCTGAGGTGCTGTGCTTCTCAAGGAAGGTGTGCAGGTGATACCACAGCTTGGGTACCCAGTCCAGCACTCGAAGCAGTTCTTCCTTGTTGGCATTGATGTCACTATCTGACTCCACCAACTTCCTTCGCAGGTAACGCACCAAGAAGCCGTTGGCTGGCTCCACATTGTTGGAGAAGGTCAGCATCCTGCCATCAATAATCGGGAGAGTTGGGACACAGTGGCCGTGGGGACACTGGCAGGGGTCATTCACTGCCAGTCCACCCTTTCTGCTTGCCTCCCACTTACGCCTACTTGTTTCTTCTCAATTATTAGTGGTGACAATTGAATTCAGGCTAGTAGCTCTGTATAGGGAGAGCTGGTTCTTAAGTCAGTGATGTACTTCAAATAATTATCTGACTTCGCTGACTTCAGTAAGGGTGGACAGGCAAGGAATCTCACTTACAGCAGCCTGCCAGAGTCCTATCAGCCCCTAGTCCTGCAGTCCCTTCCTCTCCCGTCACCTCTCCAACTCCTTTCCCTCTCCCACCCCTCCTCCTCTCTCCTTTCCTTTCCTTAAGTTCTCTCTTGCACCCTACAACCAACATGCAAGTGTAACTACTTTCTCTTCTCAGCCTGAGAGGCTCTGGCTCTTCTTTTTCTTTCTGATACGTGTTGCCCCTCTGCTCTCAGAGCCCAGGGTTAACTAGTTGATAGACTCCTGGGTGGGGTCAGAAGGCTCATCCAGGGTCCTAGGTCTTACCTGAAGCTCAGGTGCAAGCCATGATTGGGTGTCATTTTTACAGGCTGATTGGTGGTGCCTATAATGTAGGGACTGTGGGAAGGAAGGAAAAAAAGATCCACTTAGATCTGCATCTTAGCCCTTGCTTTCTCTGTCAGCTGGACCACACCTGAGTTCTCCCTCTATCCAAACTGTGATATGTTTGGCCCCAACCCCAGCTTACCATTTATGATACTTGCAGGTGAGGGCCCCATTAACCAGCTCACTGATGGAGCCTGCTTCACTCAGGTCATCCAATAAAATCACCAAGGGCACATCCCCAATCCCTGTTTCCCGGTCTATCTGGTTGGCCAGGTTGGAGAGGTACAACTGTAGATCCTGCAATGAAAGACACCAGGTGTCAGTACTCAGGGATCAACACCTGCATCAGCCTTAGAGGAATTTTGGAGAAGCTCTGCTCTAGTTAGGAATTTCCCTAGGGCCTTTGCTTTCTTTCCCTAGGGTCTTTGCTGCATTCACATATTTGCTTACAGAAATAATTACGACGCTGATAAACTGGCCCCAGAGGCACTCAAACACCCTTATTAAGCAGTGGTCCCTCAAGCCACCATAGGTAGGGAACACACGCTGGTTTTTAAAAAAAAATTTTTTTGGAATGTATTTAGTACAGGGTCTGCAGGGTCTTATTATACAGATTGGACTCATAGTGATCTTCCTATTTTCAGCCTCTCAAAGGATGGGATTACAGGTGCACCCCACCATGCCTAATCTCAGGGGCCCCAGAGGCAGGGCCAGCATGGCATGCCAGGGATGGAACCCTGGTCTCTGTGTCTGCTTAAGTAGGTGCTGTAATCCATTGAGCTATCTGGCTGGGCCCATATGCTGCTCTTTATAAATGGTTTTTCACTGGGTTGGCAGCAAAAGCTACCATTAAAGGATGTGCTTCCCCCAGCTGAGGAGAACCAAGACTTGAACCAATTCCAAAGTATTAGCATATGCCCAATAGATGTCATGGGGGATAGGGACAGGGCTCCAATGCAATATTTAACTCTGAGTTCCTCTTGCCTGAAAGCCAAGGGTCAAAGAGTAGTATTGAAAAGAAAGGAAGAAAGGGAGAAAACAGAGAAGGGATGGGATTAGCAGTGTCAGCAGAGTGAGGTGCAAACAAGGAGGATGTAGTTCTTTAGTGATCAATTAAGGGGAAAGTAGCTTAACAGGGGTAAGAGGAGGTGTGGAGAAAGAAATTAGAGAGAAGAAGGGTATAAAGGGCCAAAGTCTGGAAAGAAGTTGGGGGTAGAGGAGGGACAAAACTAGAAATAGGGATGGGTAGGGGTAGGAAGAGACAACCAAAGAAGGGAGGAAAGGTCATGGCAGGGGAGAGGAAAAAGGAAATGAGAAGGCAGTCAGACATCCACGCTAGGGCTCAAGGGAGACTGAGGCCTGAACAAGGACTGGTGGGGGTGGAGGGGGTGTCTCAGGAGGCCCCCACCTTGCAAGACTGCTGATGCATGTTGAAGGTGCTGACGATGCCCTCAGTGACCTCGCGGCCCGAGCGCTCCACCAAGTATTCAGCCAGCCGATTGGTCAGGTAGGTCTTGCCTGTACCGCTGGGGCCCGAGAGCACAAGACGACGGTGCTTTAGCAGGAGACTGATGTAGTGCTGCATCATTGGCTTGGGGATCAGCGTCTCGAACACCAGGCTGTCCACGCATTTCTCCTTCAGACCTGAACCCAGCCCCCAGAAAGCACCGAGTCTTGGCCATCACTACCAAGATGGCAAGGAACCCCCAAAGAGCTTTTCTTTATCTGAAGCTCACAGAAGAAAACTAGTCACTTGCCCACAGTTTCAAGGGAATCTTCCTTACTCCTAGTTTTGAAATCTGGATCTCATTCTAGAGACATACTCAAAACTAGAGGTGAATGGATAGAGAAATCCATACTGAAGAAAAATGTCCCTGGGAGCAAGACTTAGGACTGGGTTTGCCTTCCTCATCCATTTATATCTCATGCTACTTAAACACCATATCATAATTTGCTAATAAGTTTTTGTTGAATGGATGCATGCTGCTTTATTTATTTTTTTGATGGTGTTCTCCCTTGCTCATGCCGTACCACCTTACCCAAAGAGATGAAGATTGACTGTTACGGTTTATAACTAGATGTAAACCCCCACCCTTTTTTTGGTACTAAGAATCAAACTGTAGGACCTTGAGCTTGCCAGGCAGGCACTGTGTAGCTGAGCTATATCCTTAGCCTAGATGCATCCTTAAAGCCTCATATGATGGTAGGGAGGTGATCAGATTATGGGGGCATTATAACTGTCTTATTGTTAGGAGGTGGGAGTTAGTTGGAAGATGTAACTGTGGGCTTGATCTGGAAGTTTTTATCTCTCTTCCTGGGTCCTTCTTTGACTCTTTCTGTTTCCTGGCTACTAAACCATTGGTAGGTGCTTTTCCTCTGCCATGCCATCTGTTCTGGGAGTCAGTAGACTCCAGGAACTGAAGTATGACCCAAAATAAAGCTCTCTTTCCTAAAGATGTGGGTGTGGGGCACTTTGTCTCAGCAATAAAGAAAGGAACTAAGACAGATTTTGGTACCAGGAGTGGGGAGGCTCAAAACTGAAAGAACACCATCAAAAAAATAATATACTTGACCATGTAGTTCAGAAGTCTTTGGAACTGGGGCACAAAAGAAGTCTAGAAAGGTTTGAAGCAGCCCTAGAATGGTATAAGACAATCTTGATGAGAGATTCTAGAAGAGCTCAGAAGACCAGAATGGTGACAGAAATGCAGTTGGTCAAGACCAGGCTTAGAAGGTACCTATCGGGAACAAGGACTCCATTGGCATATGGATCAGAGACCTTATGTGTTATGCTTTGGCAGAAACTTGTCTACATTTTTCTCATGTCCTGAAACTTCGTGAGAGACTGCAATTAAGGGTGATGGGCTAATCTGACTGAAGAAATTTCAAGGAAGTCCAATGTTCAGGCTGTGGCATGGATGCTGGTTGCTGCTTTTAGTCAGGCTTATACATTATGAACAAAAAGCCCTTTTGAAAAGTTTTGAGGGCCGGGGAGACAGCTCAGTGGAATAAGTGCTTCCCCGGCAAGCCCAAGGGCCTGAGTTCAATCCCTGGTTCTGCCAAAAAA